GTTTTTGGTGACACGGTAGTGGTGGGTGATGAGGCAGATGCGGTAGAGGTAAATTTTTTAGTCGAACTGCATTAGTTATTAGCAAGGGCACCAGATGTATTGTAGTCCCAAGTGCTGAGGTAGATTAGTCGAAATAACAAGATCTTGGCTCACCTTTCAGTTTCTTCAACAACAGCCCCAAGCTTCCTGCCTTCTCGATAGCCTGCGAGTTTCTCACCAATCCTAACTAACTGAGGCTCGACGTTCTCAGTGTAAAGCCCAACAATCCCGGGCAGCAGTGTCTCATTGATAAATGTCAACAGCGATGACCATATCTTCTTGGCGTACGGATAAATTGTATTCACTGCAACATTGTATGTTGAAGAGTAGGCCTTAACAATAACTGGCTTTGATTGGGCGTAGAATGGCTGAACATATGACCGCCACGTTTTATCAAAATGTGTTACTAAAGCCCGATAATAGGGTGTCATTACTGTACTGACACTCGTGTAATACGGCCCTAACGAATTTTCGTATATGCGGATTATGGAGTTTTGTAGCGAATGGAGGTGAGGTGTAACTAATGCCCCTAGCTGGTGTCGAACATAAGAAGTACCTTTCTCAAAATGGGCCGCTCCATACGTGCGGTAAGTTCGAGTTGCGAAATGCACGGCTGGGTTGTATATTTTCTCGTTGAAAGTGCGAGCATAGGGGCGCACGTTATCGACATATGGAGCTCCATAAGATTCATAATATGGTGTTATGTGAGGCTCGATGTGTGACCTTGCGATCAAGAACGGTTTGCAAACCCCCGAGGAATTGCTATCCAACTCCTGTAAAGTCGATGGACAGTGGAAAAACGGTGTAAGTAAAGCGTACCATATCAGCAACCTATTCCAGAAGGCAGAGATAGTTAGCATTTCATATAGCTGGCGGGCAGCAGCCTTTGGTGGTGGTGGTTTCTACGTTTCTACGATGGTTGGTTCATACCGTACAATAACCCCTAGTGACCACCGTGCAAAGCCAGCTGGCCGTTTCTGTTCTCGTTTTCGAAGCGGCTGTCCATCAGCCTGTCCGTTCACCTTCTTTGCAACTACACCATCTGCTGCTATCGCCATCCTGTGTGGTGGATAACCCCCCGCTCGACTGCTTGTTTGTGAGCCGAGGTCTCCTGACCACTCAGCAGGACTGCGTGTCTTGTGCTCATATATCTTCGAAGGAATAGCAGTGAACAACCTGTGGCGCAATACAACATGAGAGACACCAGTTCCAGAGCTGGTCGAAAAGAAAGGGTAGATAAATAGATGGATGGTGTCGAGGAGATTATTCGAGAGATTCGATAGATTCGAGTGCCTATGGAGCTAGGTTGTTCAGATCTTGGTATGGAGCTAGTCAGCAGCTAGCCACGAACAGCTGGAAGTACCAGAAGCACCAGTTCGCAGCTACCTACTTACGTATAGAACAGGGAAAGATAAACTTACTCTCAGAAGTTGCCTAGACATATGCTATGGAATATTGTCCTAAAAGAGAAAACGGCATAACTAGACGGAGTTGTTGTGATGTGTTTTCTCCCTGCAGCCGCGCCAGTTTCAGCATTTTCTTACTTTTAAGTTATTTACTTACTAACTGGGCCCTAGTGGTTGATTTCATAATCAACCTCGGTCGGACCCTCGCATACAAGGGGTCTGCCACCTCAATGTGAACCACTACCTCAACATGAAAATTATTTTATCCAGGATACTAAATTGGTTTATCGACAAATGTAGCAAGATTCATTAAATACAACTTGCTTATGCAGTAGACAATCTATTTATGACTCTTTCTAGTGAATTTAGTGACTCTAACATTAATACTCTTATCTCTATAGTATTGTTTAAATTTCATCAAAACTTTTTTTTATTTTAAATGCAACTTCTCTAATGTCTTCTGATTATCAAGCTTTTAATGAATGACTGTCATCTTGTATATATTAGATGTGAATATGACCTCTCTCTTATGTACTACTCTTCAGAATGCTCATCAGTGGTGTTTATGAGCTGCAGTAACTGAGGTAGTTTTTAAAAGCTTATTCTGCAGAAGAGTCTCTGTATTAATCATTATGATACTGCTATTATAAAGCTTTTCTAGCTCAATTTGAATATATTCAGAGTTTTCAACATTTTTCATAGCTTTCAATTTGCACTTATATCAGTTGAATTGACATATAATTGAAGGAATATACCAGGTTAAGAAATTAATAAAAATGAATATAAATGAACTCGTAAAAGTTATCTCAAACTTATATAATTTATTAAAAATGATAAATGAATTGAATGAAATCAAATCTATTGCTTCTCATTCTTTATTGATTGTATAAACTCTAAATGTTAATTTTTATATAGAAATGATAATATAAAGAAATTCAACTTTTATAAACTTCTTATAATTATATTTTATTACTTCTTCAATTGTTAATAAATAATGATACTTGAATATTTGAAAAACTTTTATATTCAGAGATTATAATAGATAACTTGTATATGAAATAAAATAGAAGAAAATGATATTATTCTTGTTGTAATAATTTATAAACTCATATATATAGTAAAATTTAAAGTTATTTAATAGAAGTAGATAATAAGATTCTTTGATATCACTTTTTGTAGAATGATAAAAATATTGAATTTAGTGAAAAATGATTTAATTATTGTTATAGTTAGTATCTGATATATTTATTATAATATTCTTCTCAATTTCATTAATTCAGTGCTTCTATAGCTGCTTTATAATGAGAATATATAAAGATGAAATAATAAAACTATTTATTGAGACTGCTTCAATAATTATAGAAGTTTTTCTATTAATTGAGCTTTCAATATAAGTCTATCATCAAGAATCTCATATCATTATCTATTGATATTATTTAATTTCTATTTTAAACTCTGTTTTATCAAAGTTATAAATATTACTGAGTTAAATCTCAAACATATTCACTAGTTTCTTAAAATAATTAAATCAATTAAGTATAAATAATAACTTATTGTAGAGGGTTAAACTCTATGAACTAGAGGCTAGTCCTCCTATATAACAAGGACGAATTGCTTGGGAAAGGGAAGAAAAGAATAAGATGAGAACACAAGCTTAAGCAAGCTCACATAGCATGGTCACGTGCGCACATGCAAATGATGGCTAGGCTGAGTCAGCCAGCCAGAGTGAATCTAGAGGTTCAGCTCCTTATAATACCCTCCTTCTCCCTCTTTGTTGCAGGCCTTTATGACTATTTAAAGCCCTCTTTACATCTAATTATGCTTGCTAAAAGGCCTCTCAAGTGTCCAAAGCCTTCACTTCTTGTAGGAGACTCATGTCATTTCATGTAGGCTTAGCTCAACCTACTCATTTAACAAGGTATTGCTTTTTTCTCTGATAGATTCATTTATCTCAAATTTTCTCAATCTCAAACTCAGGTCATTCTGAAATCTCTATAGTGAGTGACTGTCAGTTTGTTTGCCTCTGACTAGACAAGGAATCTATTGCTGTTACATGTGAAAGCTTTACATTAAAGATATTGTGAATACTGAGTGAGACATTCAGTCAGTAAGTATGAGATTCTATCTTTTCTAGCATAGTATATTGATTGTATTTTATGTTCAGCTTCTTGCACAGGTAATTCATTCTCATGTTCTCTAAGCTCAATCAGATCTTATCTCTGGATTGAAAGCTTGAAGCTAAGTCTCTTCATCTATCATTTTTACTTGAGCTCACTTCAACACTTCACAGACCTTTCTCATATAATTATCTGCAAACTCAATGAGATTATGTGATGTTTTAACAGAGAGTACATCAGCTATATCAATGAAGAAGATGTGAAAAAGATATGTTAAAAGAATAAGCTCACATCTGTTGAGGCAGCATCTTTATTATTGATGATCAGCTCTGCCAGAGAAAGTTATTCATATCAGTCATTCTGTTAAAAGCTAATGTACTTGTGTAGATAGATTTTCAGAGTCTAATTCATTCACTCTGTATCTCTGTCAGTCTCTGAGTAATAGACTATGAAGAGTTGTCTTTTAATGTTTAATTTCTCACATATCTGAGTTCAAAACATGCTTGTGAAAGCTGATTCTCAATCTGATACTACTGCCTTGGAGATGCCATGTCAAGAAATGATGTTGTGAAGGAACACTCTAGTTACTGTCTCTGCATCAGTTTTCTTAACTGCTTTTAATATAATCTCCTTGATCAGTCTATCTGTTATAATCATGATGTTTGTGTATTCTTTAGAGCTTGATAAGTTCACAATAAAGTTCATAGAAAGCTTCTGTCATATATGTTCAGGAATGAGAAGAGACTTAAGCAGTCTCTGATGTTAATCTCTTCATGCAGTGTTTGATCTGCAAAGATGATAGTTTCTGATTATTCTTCTCACATTAGCAGCATAGTCTGATCAGTAAAACTCACATCTTAGAAGTTCTGCTATTTGCTCTCACCCAGGATGACTAGTAAGAGATGAGTCATGAGCCTCATGCACTAATCTGGTTCAAAAAGGTTCAAAATCTGGCACTCACTTATGACCTCAAAAGAGAAGCTCTCTGTTCTTATTTAAAGAGTACTCAGAGACAGAGATCTTAATACTAAGTGCAGAAGAAAATCTGAATCTTCTCTCATAAAGAGTCTGCTTCAAACACTGCAGAATCTTATCATTTTTGTGAGTCTCATTTCACTGAGCTTGAAGAGACATCTCAGATTTCACACTGGCAGCAGCCACTCTTGATTTTATTTCAAGTGCCAGTACATTAAACTTAAGTAGTTAAGCTTGCCTCTGCTTGATTCTCTCATCATCAGCACTCTGTGACATGTCCTGCTCTTTTCATGATAATGCATCTAATTTAGCATTCAACTTTTTTGATCAGTAATTAATTCTGAAGTTAAATTGATAGAGAATATCCATTCAATGTAGCTATCTTTTATTTAGTCTGTATGTAGTCATGAAGTATTCTAGATTCTTATGATCTATGAGGATCTTGAATTTCTTTATACTTCATAGCTCAGCATTTCATTTCTTTAAACACTCAATTATTGCTAATAACTTCTTATCATGAATCTCATAGTTGCATTCTGCAGGTGAATGCTTGTGAGAGAAGAAGACATATGAGTGTAGAATGCTCTGCTCATTATATTATAGCAGCACTTCTTCTGAGACATAATCTGAGAAGTCTGTTTTCAATATAGTCTCATAATCAGAGTCAAATTGAAGTAGAATTGAAGCAGAGATAAACATTGATTTTAGACACTTAAAAGCTTCCTCAGCCTTACTCATCTACAAAAAGAGAATATTTTTGTGTGTAAGAATTGTCAGTGAGATTGCAATCTTTGAGAAATTCCTGATGAATTGTCTATAGAAATTGACAAAGTTTAAAAATCCTTATACATTCTTAAGAGTAGTAGATGTTGCTCATTTCAAAATAGCTTTAACCTTCTCTAAATTCATTCATATACCCTTGCCTGCTTCAATGATGAATTCAAGATATTTTGTGCTGTTCATTTTGAACTCACTCTTTCTGATGTCTGCCTGCAAGCCTGCTTTCTGTAGATGTATAAGCATCTTTTGTACATGCTTGCAATGCTTCTGTAAGCTTCTTGAGAAAAATATCAAGATGTCATCTAAATAGACTAAGCAGAAGTTGTTCAGATATCCACATAATGCCCAGTTGATATATTTTTGAAATGTGCTTAGAGCATTGGCCAAATCAAAGGATGTAATCAGCCACTCAAATAGCCTATATCTGTATAAGAGGTTGAACCCCTAGATTTGCTCTGGCTGGCTGACTCAGCCTAGCCATCATTTGCACATGCGCATGTGATCATGCTACGTGAGCTTGCTTAAGCTTGAGTTCTCATCTCATTCTTTTCTTCCCTTTCTCAAGCAATTCATCCTTGTTATATAGGAGGACTAGCCTTTAGTTCTTAGAGCTTAACCCTTTACAAATAGCAGTAGTCAATGCAATTATCAATATATATACTGAGTTTTATAAGATCTGTATTTAGACAGCTTATATTCTTCAGACAATTAATACTACTCAGAAATTAAATAGCTTGTAGAGAAATAAATTTAATACTCTTAAGTAAAACATCTTACAGA